TATATATATATAAAGTTGTTTCTTTTGTTAAGTCATTAATTGTTGGTGGATGCTTTATCTTCTAACTGTCCACATCATCTCTTCCATTAAGTACTTACAATCCCTCCATCCTAATAAGAGATCTTTAAAAAAAAATCTCCATCTCTTGGGAAAAAAAAGGGCCTGGCGTTGCAATTACACCCAATCTCTCCGCCTGCTGCTCCACCATAAAAAGAGCTAAAGATGTCGAAAGATGGATAATTTCCCCTAGGTACAATTTAACTGTCACTTTGCATTGCCATTTACTGCAGCGCACAGCCCCGTTAATGTCCCCAACTTTGCATGTCAGCCACTTTCCAGCCAATTAAGTCCTGAAAAAAATAACAAGTGCTTTGCTCGGTGGAAACCTGAAGGATGAGACAAGGTGGCTCATTTTGACTAATCTCTACCCCCCCCCCCCTTCACCCATCACTTTTTCTTTTGACTCTGTCCCACTCCTTTGTTTAGGCGAGATGGGCAGGCCCGTTATCAAACCACTGTCCTCGCGTGGGGGAAGAATGAGGTGTCTGTGTCTCGAAACGCAAATGAGACTGTGATCATGACACCACTAGCCTGCTGTTACACGTGCACAAGAATGGCACTTACTTATTACAGACATTAGCACCACCCCTAACAGGTGATTTTGTGTAAAAAAGTGAAGTCTTTGGTCAAACAAAGGCAGGTGAACGTTTTAAAAATAAATATGGCAACTTGTTATTTAGCAGAACAAGCCAGTAGATGTGCAGAAACATTGGGTGTCAAAATAACATGAAAGTTGCTCAATTTTAACCACCACGCCCTTTAATAGCCAAGCCTTTTCTGTTAACTTTTTTTAACAGGATGGGAGTAAACAGTCTTCAACCTTTACTTTGTGTAAAGATGATTTGATTTAAAAATTCCAGTAATTAAGTATCTTTACATTACTAAAATCAGGGGGAAAAATATTGCTCGTAAAGAGCACTTTTGAGCATTTCCTGTATATTCAAATCACATTTAATCCTCATAATATTTAAGTAACCAGAAAATATCTCCAATTTATGAAAAAAAATCTACATGACATTATTCTACCTAAATTAAAATATTTTTCCAATTCTCAGAAATTGAAATTAAAAATTCATTTAATTTTAAATAAATATGTAGTTCAAAAAAAAAGAAAAAGAAAAAAAATTCATGCTCTTAGAAAATTCAACTTTCAATTAAAGATAAAGGGTTATCTCTTTAAATTGGTCAAATGTACAATAATAAAATCATCAATTGCATTTGTTTCTAAAGTAGATTAAGTCTATGTTGACATCATGTTTCTTCTTAAAACGGGTAATCAGTTATTCCAGTTGAACGGATGCCTGCATTAAACATGAAGCCTACATTTCCAATAAATTTGCAATATTTGTTGTCAACAAATTAGAACATTTTGTTTTTTCTTCATAATTAAGGTGTTCTTGATAGTTTGGCCTCCATCTTCGTTGACAGTAGATATTAAATGTGATGCTAAAAGGTTAAAAATAAATCCAACATTAACTTTTTAGATTACATGTATAGAATTTATATTCTTGGCCAATTAGCTCACCAGAGTATTTCACCAATGTTTATTAAGACTCAAAAGAGATAAATGGAATTCATCAGGTTTAACATCTATCTGTTTAGCTTTTAGTCTCATGCTGGCCTCTTTTTTTCCCCAACTTTTGCCTCTTCCATTAATCTGCTGTAATTGTTATTATAGACCTGAGCAGTGGAAAAGAATGGAGGCTTTTTTTCTCTGAGCAGCTCATCTCTTTTCAGCTCTGTGCCCACCTCCTCGTGTTCCATCATCCCGCTGCTGCCTTATCATACATGTCCTGCCAGCTCTTCATTTTGTTGGACTCATTAGCATTTACTGTCGCTAATCACTTCCTCGACGATGGCAATCTAAGCTAACTGCCAACAGGCGCGGTGGCAGGTTAGCACACACAATACTGAGCGGACGGGCATGAAGGCTAGCGGGGCGGCGCGTATGATGGGCTGTCAAGGGCTAATCTGGCAGAGAAGTGTTCATTAAGTCATTAGCGCTGACGCAGCGATGAGATGGGTGCAGGCGGGGGTGATGCCTGCTTTGTCCTCTTTTATCGCTTCCCTCCACCCCCCCCACCCCATGACTGTCTGTCTGTCCGCTGACTGACGGAATGAAGAGGTGGAGATGAACAGACGAAGATAAAAAGAGAGAAGTCAAGTGTTGTGGTACTTAAAGCTGCCCTGAGGCTCTGCAGAACCAATGATTCACAATCCTGAAGGTTTCACACTTTCAACACAACTTAAGAGCAAAAATTCATAGATTTTTTTCAACAAGGATTTTACCATATTTTAAAACCAACAATGATATGAATTTGTAAACTTCCTGCTTAAAAAACTAAGCATCAAACAGAATGTCCATTGCATTTTCTTAATTTTATGCTCAGTCTTCTAAAAAAAACCAACTAAACCCTACAGAACGATGATGAATGTTATAAAATTATAAGTACAATTAAATGTTATAAGATGAATAAGTAAAAAATTAAAAGTACAAGTTCATGTTGCTGATGTTTAATATTTAAAAACTCCAGTGCCAAGAAAACTGAAATGAAGCTTTGTGTGCACATTCGGATCACTAACTAGGCCTTGTCAGCGAACACGTTACCAACTGCTATCTTGTTCTCATGTGTTCATTAGTATGTGTTGACTGCCGTATCAGCTGGAGTAAGTACAACTGGCACTTGATTTGTAAGCTCGGCTGCGGTAAGCTGCTGTGTGTGTTTGTGTTTTGGCTGCCGTTGATGACCCAGGAGTAAATTAGTCTGCTAATCTCAGAGAGGCAGTGATTATCGAGTGAACCTGGAAACTCTGTTTGTGCCAGAGAAAAAAAGAGTTAAAGCAACACAAACAGCAGTGGGGGAGAACCTTGTGTGTGTGTGTATCATTTGCAAAGGTCTACCTCTGGCACAGCAATGCACAAAAGGTAAATCCTATGAAAGCATGTACAGGGTGTGTGTGTGTGTGTGTGTGTGTGTGTGTGTGTGTGTGTGTGTGTGTGTGTGTGTGTGTGTGTGTGTGTGTGTGTGTGTGGTGGGCTCCTGACAGTGCACAGAGTGTCTATAGTAAATCCAGCAATTAGTATTCCGTGCATAATTAACATGCTAATGAGTTGATCTAGTTAAAAGCTGCTCTCACAAAGAATACACATGCACTGAATAACATCCTGAATACAGTTCAAAGGTAGGGTAATGCCAGTGACCCCACAGTGCATGTTTGCTGACACTAATTTGCATATTTGCATTATGGGAAGAAGCATTGACAGCCATCTTTCCCAACTAACGCACTTAAATCTCAAAGGATAGTGGTGGGTGTTTCAGGAGCTGATGGGAGAGGTTGCAGCTGGCGCATTCTCAAACAAACAAAACCTGGCTTTACCACACATATACACACTTAACATAAATGAGCAATTTCCACATCCTCTCCCTTTCTGAATCGCTGACCCAGACGATAACCTCAACTATGATCATAGGGAGGGATGAGTGACTCGCTGAGAAACACGTTCATACACACACCTGGCAACAGACTTTTGGCAGATCAGGACACAGATTTTGAAAACAAAAGTGAGATTGTTGGCTGCTTAACGGGACGCTGGGGACATAAAACTAGAACATACAACAAAAATATGTTTAAACATTAAACCTGGCTAATGCGACAATGCCAGTTTTTGTTCTACCTGGACAGGTAAGCTGAAATCAAAGGTGAGCAGAGATTGGTGGATGGCTTTGCCAGTCCAAGAGAGAAGATGGTTTCCTGAAGTCGTCGGAGAGTGGGGATGTCGTCCTTCATCAGGTTAAACATGTGAAAAAGAGAGTCTATGTGGATGTTTGTCAGCTCCACATTCTTCGCTTTCATCTCCTTCAGCAAGTCCACCGCCTCTGTGGGGGGAAGGAAAGACAGGAAGAGGTGCATCAGAGATGAACGGATAAGATGTCATCAAAAATCAATGACCTGTGCGTGATTTAACGGTAAAGAGAAAGGAACAAAAAAAACGAACAAAAAAAAAGAGAAAGAGATAAAGCAGAGATGAGCAGAGAGAAAGCATGAGGTGGGCAGAGCTTGGCTTAGAATAGGGTATGTGAATATGATAAAAGGCCCCTTTAGCTAATTCCATGTGGGGAAAACAAACCCATATTAAAACAGCATTTTGAACCCAGCGGGGATTCAAATCCAACCCTGTATAATGCCAACTCTGTGCTAATTGCTACTTGCAGTTTTCTAAACGAGACTACAATTACCAGACCCCTACAATGGAGGCCAGCTTTTTGCTGTGGCCATGTGGAAAGCACTTGGGGGGCTAAATTATAGGTATGTAGCGACAAGGGCCCGCCGTGGCCCCAGAAAGACCTCGGTAAGCGGACTGAGGGGTGGATCAGTTTGGTCAAGTCGAGCTGGTAATGGAGGGCTTTTTACTGGGCCAAGTGCCCATCTGGCCAACGCTAGAGGCTAAATGATGAAATGAGAGTGTGGTGTGTGTGAATACGTGTGTTAACAGGGTAAAGTAATTAAGATGCATTTACTGTCTATTTAGACAGCTGCTAATGGGCTGTCAGTGATACAGCCGCTATCCACCACAGATACTAATCTATACACCGAGAGCAATAAAGAGGAGATGGAGAGATGCAAAGACACTGAATATATCTGAATAATCTTCATTAAATCTCCAGTTGAACGACAGTAATGACACTGTGCTTAAAAAATTACATTTTCTGCTTCTCTTACTGATGTTAATTTTAGCAAAAAATAAATAAACTAAAAAAGGAAAGGACTATTAAGTGAACAGATGTTGGTATAATGATTCTTACACCTTCACAGCTGGTTCCACAACAAAACTACTCCAACAAGAGTATCACTTTATACATAAAAACCCACATCCAGAAAACATTTGTGGGCTGAAAAACAGGGCCTCTGTTGAGTGCTTTGGCATCCTAATTTTAATCTGTCTCGACACCAGTCCACCTCCTTGTGCCAGTTATTATGGCAATGGCAGCCAAAAGCTGTCACCGATTTAATGGGACAAGGGAAAACAGGAATTAAGGGTGGAACTGGGGACAGCTGACACTAGGTGTAACACAATAAAACAACAAAGTGGTTAAAGGTAAAATAGTACAAGATGGATGAGAATGTCAGGCGGTAAAGCTGGTAAGCAGAAGGCAGATTTAATATCAGCACAAAAATCGGGGAAAGACATGAAATAGATTTTATGACATCGGTTTGCTGCTTCCCTGTATTTTTTTAATAAAAAAACAGGCACAGCAAAAAATAAAAAAAAATAATAATAAAAACTAGGGGTTCACCGTTTGCAGTTTTCTGGACAATTACCGATCCAATTTTTGGCCGATACCGATTCTTCTTAAAAGGCCGACACTGTCGGGTGTTAGAAGGTGCTCACGGCCGAGCAAAAGGGACAGTGGCTGATTTTCAGACCTTTGTGGAGGTAGATAAGAAGCCAAACTTTTCCACCAATCTTAGCAATGTATCAGCTGATATCCCAAAATTAAAGAAATCGAAACAAATAGTCAAGCCGATTTATATGTGCACCTCTAATATAAACATATACATACGTTGCCTGGCCAAAAAAAAAGTCGCTACCCAAAAAATAGGTCACACACACACACTATATTTCATTGGACCACCTTTAGCATCGACTACGGCACTAGACCTGTCACGATAACAAATTTTGCTGGACGATTAATTGTCTCACAAATTATTGCGATAAGCGAAAATATTGCCTGGTGACCATTTTACAACTAATAATTATAAAAGCGTAATATGTGAGTAATAAATCAATAAACTTTAATTTTTAAATGTTTAACAAAGTGGACTCTCAGTCTCTAACAAAAAATGCACTTGAATAAAAAAAACAAAGAACAACAAAATGTAAATTAAACACCACACACTACTAAGACAGTAAATAAACAATATTAAAGAGCAGCAT